CAGAAGGACAGAATGGTGGGGGTTGGACAATACCTCTGGAGATCATCTAGTCCAATCTCTCCTGCTCAAAAAGCAGGATTAGGTAGAATGGGTCGCTCACGACTTTGCCTGAGCAAAAGTGTTTTAAGCATCTCCAAGGATGGAGACTCCACAATTTCTCTGGACCATCTGTTGCAGTGCAGAATTAGTAAAATTAAAGTAATTTTTTTCTCTTCCCTTTAAACATAGTTTCCTGTGTCTCACCTTGTGTCTGCTGTCTCTTGTCCTTTCCCCACGCCCCAGTGAACAGAGTCTGCCGCTCGCCTTCCTTACACCCTCCTCCCAGGCATTTATGCACAGCAAAAATGTTCTCCTTGAACCTGCTCTTCTCCAGGCTTTTAGGAGAGGTAGTAAAAAAAGGAAGACCTTAACTTTGATGAACTGAAAAGTTCATCCAACACTAAACCCACAGAACGAGTCAGGTTACTGACATAGGAAGTCTCTTGATTCAGGGCATCCTGAAAAGTCTCGAAGTCCTGCATCCATTCCACTGCAAAACTGTGGTCAATTATGTCAGTCTGGAAGGAGAAGGGAAAATATTCAGAAGTAACAATCTTACCCGTAGGCTGTTAAGTGGACAAATGAAAAAAAATCCATGTTAAATTTATTTTTAAAATGTTGATCTTTTAAAAATATTCAGCCCTGGTCTGAAGTTTTGCGAGTTCACTTTTTATCAAATCAACTATATGAATACAGGAAAAGAAGACAAACAACCACTTCTCCAGATTTAGGAAGGCAACAGTTGTTTAAGGAAACAATTGCAGCTCTAAAGCCTCCTATGGTTTTACTGGGAAGGGGCATCCGAAAATTGCATACTGCCCAACGCAGTTTAAGGTGTAAATAGTAGATCAGACGATCGAGGCCAGACAAGAACAACCCTCGTTGAAGATGCCCAGCTTCCCTGATCGCCTGGGGGCCGGGGAGCGAGGGCCACTTCCACGCTGGGTAACCCCCGGGATCTGTATGACAGTGAGCTGTGTTCTGGCCCAAAGAA